ACCTCTTTACCACTTCCAAACTTTCTCAAGAATACAACAGGCGATTTTCAACTGTTCATCTTCTTCCTTCCTACAATAATGGTAGAATCCTCATCCGTTAAAGAACAAACCACTTCATCTTCTCTTCTATCAATCAAACCAAATCAAAACCTCATTATCGAACTGAATCCCTTCCTCTATGATTCGTACATACTACATGTGGTCGAATGCCTCAAATATTCACCACTGGTGATTGCTCTAACACAGGTTGAATCTGTTCCAATGTCACTGCTCTCACAGGTCTATTCATCTGGTTCTTACGATAAACGCAGGGAAAGGATCTTCTTTGATATCTTCCATCATCTCTCCTGATTTCATCACTACCACCCAACTTTTTACAACATTCTATGACATGGGTTACATAGATGTGCTTACAACAATGACAAAGTTCAAGAAGTCCTGTTTACCATCTCAGTGGAATGGTCTCTTCACTCTCATCTTCAAAGGCTTAGTTGAAAGGGTTGTTGGGTCTGTTGGGGCCAACAAGGGCTTTATGAATGTTCTTTATGGTCTCTATCACGGAATCAGTCTCGATTATGGCTCCTTAATTTGGTCTAAACTGGTGTAGAGCCTCAACTCTTCGTCCAAACACTCTGAAATATCTTGTGGACGCTTCTGGACGTTGTTCACTCACAGAGCCATTGAGCACTTTCAGATTCCAATCATGGCGGATGCATTGATGTCTTCAATCGGCACTTTCCACACCACAAATATCATCATCTCTGATCCTAGAAAGTTCCTGTTCATCGGTTCCATTCCAGAATCGACGTACAAATGTGTTTCAAGTGAAATCCAAGTTATGGATGGTTACAGGAAACTAACACCAATAGGGCCAAGGAAACTCACTCCTGAAATGCAAAGTGCATTGGAGGTTGTTGATAAACCAGCGAAGACTGGCAACAAACTAGATCAAAAGAAGAAGGATGCTGAATGCCAATCTTCCCAAGTGGCCACGCCTAAAAAGCAAAAAGCAGAAAAATAACCTTCTGCTGCCTACAAGAAGCGAATGGTTAAAAAGATGACCAAGAAACCGAAGGCTGTCTCCTCTAGTGATTCGGAGTATGTTCCATCGGATCAAGACCAACCAAAGTCTACTGAAGCCGAACCTGTTCATATTGAAAGCTCACCAAGAGGGAACTCACCTCCTCGGTCCCCATCTCCTAAGGTACATATAACCAAATCTGTTCCAACTCTTCCTCCTTCTCCAACTCATACTATAGTTGCTGTTTCAATTTCACCACTTCCACCACCGGTCACTTGTCAACCTACTTTAACACCACCAATTGATTCAACTATTCCTCTTCCACCTCCAATAATCACTCATGCAACCACCACAACCACTACAACCAAAACCTATGGTTATTGTAAACCTATTTGATACGGGGGAAACTAAAGTCTCACCATCCCAGTTTCTTCAAAACCTTTATCCCCACCTCCTTCTACCGAATCTGGCACTATCCTTGGTGGAGCCGATATGGAGTTTGACTCTGTGTATTTCAGTCTGTATCGTGTTCTAAGTGATGAGGATGAAGATGCTCCCCTCACTAAACGGCACTTCACGGATCTTAATGCAAAACTTGACAAGTTGCTTGCTTCAGCCTCTTCTTCCTCATCATCAGCTTTTACTGACACTACTGTCAAAGCCCTAATTGACTCTCTTTCCCAATCTCTTCAAGGTGAGGAACAAAAGTTTGAGATCGTGCGTGATTCTATGAAGGCTGATCAGACTACACTTCTGTCCTCCATCTCCTCTCACCTTAACCAGCTGCAGGACGATCTAGCCCTGGAGAAAAGAAAAATTGAGATGAACTAGCTCGCAGCACATCTCAGGTCCAAACTTAAGCTCACCAGCTCACCCCAGCTTCAAAAAGAAAGTGATGAGATCAAATCAGAGAAATCTGTCATCCAAAGCAATGTTGGTATCGTGCATTTTATCCTTTTGAATCTCTTGGATACACATGATTCGATTCTTACAATCACCACTCTCCGTCACCTGGCTGAGAAGTTGAGACCAGCTCTAAACATCCTAAGCAGAATCGAGGGTGTTCTGGAGTCTGTCGTCCATAAGAAACAAGGGGGAGATATTGTTGTCCAACGAAAACTCACAGCTGACCTGAAAGTTAATGTAGCTTCGGTCAATTTGAAGGATAAAAAAAAGAAGAAAGTTGATGATGATGATGATGTAGTAATTCATGATGTAACACCCAAATTTCCAGTTATGAGACTTTGTTCTTTTATTTTTAGGTTTTGTGAGGGAACTTGGCGAGTTGCCATCTAGACTTGCCGAGTATGGTCGCGACTTTAGATGCGAGTTCACAACTAGACTCGGCGAGTTCATGAGTGGACTCAGTGAGTCCACGCTATTTAATGAAACCCTAATTTCTAGGGGTTGAGACCTATTTAAAGGCCCTTATGGCCGTCCATTGCAGCTACCACACCCCAGAGAGAGTCCTAAATCGCTGGTGAGGAGAAGAGAGGCCATTATTGATCTTTTGTTGGTGAAATTTGAAGGAGAAGGTGACCAACGCAAAAGAAGGCTGAAGGAAGTACAAATCTAGTGTCTTCAGAGATCAAAGGCTTCATATTAAGGTATTCCTTCAGACCTTCTCGAGTTTTGGGTATTGATTCATAGAGTTAGGGTTTTTAAACCCTTTAGAAGAAGAATATGTAGAGTATTTAGTCCCCTCTTGAGTTTGTGCTTTGGATCTGGACTCAAAGGGGTCCAGAGACTTTAACCCATGGAGCTTTATGAGTCATTTTAGGGTTATTGGACTTAGGTTGCCATTTTTGGGACTAAATCACCATTTGATGCCATTATGTATATATATATATATATATATATATATATATATATATATATATATTTATATTTATATATATATATATATATATATATATATAAGCATCAAGTTTCGAGCTTTACGTGACTTTCGTGCTTGGGAAGGCCAGATATGTGGGTTAGGGGCACAAATCTGACCCCAGGAGGTCAATAGAGATGGTGCATGGCTTGAACTCGCTGAGTTGTTCTTGAGACTCGGTGAGTAGGGTTAGGGTTTCACGCGAATAGCTCTGTGAGTAGACTTGCTGAGTTGGGGGATAACTCAGTGAGTCTGAAGGGGATTAGAGGACTGGGGTTCAAGGCAGTACTCGGCGAGTTGAGTCGGGGTGGCCCCACGATTCATGCCAAGTGTGAATCATCGAGTAAAGAGAAGGACTCGACAAGCCAAGAGAAGGACTAGGAGAGTCAGTGGACGTGTAGACTCGCCGAGTCGCCCAAGTGCACTCGACGAGTCGGGTCAGAGTTTGACAGTTGACTTTTGTTGACTTTAGGGTTTGGTCAACAGTGAGGCCTTTGAGCTAGAAGAGGGGTAAAATGGTCTTTTACCCTTCTAAGGATGTTAAGAAAGGTTGGAGTATAGTTATATTTATGGGAGTATTTGCTTTATGTGATTAGGCGGAGGCTAGATCACGTTTCTACCGAGACAGAGACTTACCGAGATATTAGAGGTGAGTCTTCTCACTATACTGTACCTGGGGAGGTACCTATGTGTGACCGGAAGGTCTTGTATGCTATGATTTGCATGTTTTGTATGTTATACGTTGCATGTTCTGTATGTGTTATGCATGTGATATGTATGCTATGGGCCGGAAGGTATTATGACGTGGACCGGAAGGTCAGGGAGTCATGGACCCGAAGGTCGATACGAGTAGGACCAGAAGGTCTACATGGATTGGGACGGAAGTCCCTTGGGACACATGGACCGGAAGGTCGTGTAGTGTATGGCCTGGGAAGGCATATGTGTATAAAGGTATTTTGGGGAACTCACTAAGCATTTATGCTTACAGTTGTTGTGTTATGTGTTTCAGGAACTAGCGAGGACCGTGGAAAGGCGCTGGCGTGACTCGTCACTACTAGAAAAATAGCCTTTTACAACGCGCAATTAATGACACACACGGATAAAGGGCGCGCATTTGTGCGTGCCCTAAAAATTAATGTCAGTTTTCCAAAATTTGAAGGATAGAAGACACCCATTTTGGCGTGCCCTTAAATTAGTGTTAGAAAAAAAAAATACGGAGGGCACCTATCAAAAACTGTGCGTTGTGTAACTGTGTCGCTTTATATTTCTTTTAAGAAACACGCGTTTTTAGGGGGAAAAATGAAATCCAAAAAATTAACCCCGCCTATTCATCCCAAAAATTCCCTGCCTCTTCGAATTAGGGCCTTCGTCTTCATCCACAACTTCCTCAATTCCTCGATCCATAACCTCCACCAAAAACCTAATTCTTGGTTCCAACAAACTCTTACACTCTTAATTCGACCCTAATGAGCTGAGGATTTAGGGTTCTTACCTCCCAGTTATCAATTTGAGCCGATGATTTAGGGTTCCTAAATACGACCCTAATTTTTTCTATCCCACTCTCGTATTTCCATCTCATCCCTCTCGCCTGGATTTGCGTCTGGATTTGTTAGGGCTTGTTTCATCCATTCATTGCCTCCCTACCACAAGCGATCTTATAACTCTGCCCAATCGACCTCTTCAATCATCTTTTCTATATCTTCATATGGTAAGAGCTTCAAGATTTATATCTTTCCCAATTAGTGAGTTCTTTTGTTTTTACTTGATTGCTGAGTTTGTTCTTCCTCGATCTTCACATGTTTCCTGGAATTTTGCCTGTCAATCGCTTTATTTGCCGCGAAGATACAACTCTTTAGATACTCTGGTCAAAGACATCACTGGCTCCCCTCCCGTCGCTGTGGTTGGTCTTCCTTCTCCTTGCTGCGGTCGATCTTCATTCTCCTCGCCGCCGTCGCCACTACTTCTTCCACCCTCGCCGGCGTCAGACCTTCTTTCTCCTTGCGAACATCCTTTTCTTCCTTCCCTTCGCTGGCATCCTGAACTCGTTTGGTAAGAGTTTTATGTTAGGGTTCAAATCATATTAGCCTTGCTGGAAATCAGGAAATGAAACTGCTGGCAGAAGCTGATAAACCAGGAAGCCTTATCAAAAACTACATGACTCAGTTAAGTTGTATGTTGTCAAGCAAAGCAACAAATCTTGTGTTCCTCCAAGCCCACCTCAGCAGGTTCCATCATCACCTCAAGGAGATTCTCAGCCATAAGAGGTTACCTCGTTAACACCCACACCCCACTCCAATTTACCTTGTAATCTCTCTCTCTCTCTCTCTCTCTCTCTCTCTCTCTCTCTTTATGTGCAAAAAAGATGCAAATGTCCTCAATCATCATCATCCTGATTATTTTAATTGTAGGAATCGAACGAGATTGGACTGTGATGTGAGTGTGGAGATTTGATTTCTTTTGGTTTTGGTTTTGGTTGGTTAAGTTTTGATTTGAATGAATGGTGTTTTTGTGAAGAAGTGGAAATACACAAAGAAAAAAACCAAAGGTATTGCTTGTTGCTCTGTAGGTTTGGTTTTTACTTTTTGTATATGTAACGCTTAATTACACCTTCCTACACCACGAAACTTATTATAATTATTATTTCATATTATGAATGGTGTTGCACATATAGAATACATTCCACTATTGGCCAGTCAATTAGGTGTAGCCTTTTTTGATGATAAACTTAGTTCTCTTTAAATGAAATGGTTACAAGACAATGTTAGTTAAAAAAAATATGGATTTGAGTAAATTACATTTTTGATTTTGACAAGGTTAGGTACGTACTGCTCCTATAGTTGTATACACTTCCAGGAAAGGCTTATCTGCAGCTGGGCTTACTGCTTCTGTCATTTGTGATAACAACACTGTAACTTTCTTATCTTTTTACTTTTTTATACAAATATTCTACAACACCCTTCCATATTAGGATTGCCATACATGAAGCCATGGAACAACAAACAATATCCATAACCAAAGCAGGAATAACAACAATTCTAAATTCCAGGACTTCTGTATTAGCTGCAACAAACCCTCCATCAGGTCGTTATGATGATCTCAAAATTGCACAAGATAACATTGACTTACAGACTACAATTCTTTCAAGATTTGAGCTCATCTTCATTGTCAAAGATATAAACATGTTCAGCCAAGACAAGGTATTTTTTATATATATTTATTTAATTATGTTGTTTATTACCCAATATATATATATATATATATATATATATATATATATATATATAATTATCCATATTGCTGCTATATATATATATATATATATATATATATATATATATATATATATATATATGTTTTTATTACCCTAAATATATATAATTATTTAATTATGTTGTGGATGGTAGAGAACTTGTACAGATTCTTCTTGTTGTTGGAGCTGAAGCTACTGCTCAAGACACTCAACATGGAGGTACAACTCTGCATACTGATGCTATGACTAATGGTTTGGAGTTAGTTAAAGTAAGTTTATTTATTTATTTATTTATTTATTCTTCCATCAATTTCCTCAAGTGTGTTGACATTTTATGTACAGAAAGGCATGAATGAGTTGAATTGGTTGGACCATTAACTGCTATTATGTTTGAACAGATTATTCCTTATGCGGGAGTTGATGTGAACATAAGGAATGTGCAAAAAACCATTCCTTTGCATGTGGAAGTGGCAAGAGGATCAAAATCATGTGTTAGAATGCTTATTTCTGCAGGTGGTCTGGTAGAAAAAGGCCTTCCCTTTCCTTTGCTGAGTATTTCCTCAATAGTTTCCTGCTTAGCATCGCCCTCTCCAAATCCATTGCCCTTGTGATTTTATTAACCATAGAAAAACAAACAAACAAACAAATATGAGTATGAGTAAACAAATGAAATGCAAGTATTATGATTCATATGTGTAAGCAAACCTTGAGGCGTGATCTACTGCTTTCTGGAGGAAGGATAGTCAGCGGAGCTTGATCTCGATGTAGACGGAATCAGATAGACCGCCTTGGATGAGCAAGAAAAGGTAGGTCCTGTGAACCAATGGAATGTTGCATTCATCCCGCAATTTTATTATCTTCCTTCTTTGCTCCTCAAACAACAAATCCCGGTCATTATCTTCCTTTGCTGATCCAATGGCTCGAGGTGTCTCCGCCTGATATCATAGCCAAATCAATAACAACAGACTCATGACTCATGACTCATGAATCAACAACTATTGTTTCCTTACCATGTAACTGATGTACTCTTCTTTAAGATCATCCCTCATGACTTCTTTAAGTGTTCTGGTTGGAGAATAGATAAAAACACCCCCACTCCCCACAATCTGCTTCATGCCTTTCTCATCAGAATCTTGTCTGCATGAAGATTTGATATCTGATTCTGATTTGTATTGAAGACTTCTTCCGGAAGCATCCCCTTCAACTTCCTTGGTAACCATACTTACAGCCACCACATTGTATTCAGGAGTCATCTCTTCAATAACTGCACTGCAGCTCGTGCTTCTTCTCAAACTTGCGGTTCTTGAATAAGTTTTGTCCACAACTGAAAAACCCGAAGAGCGAGAAGATTGCTCCCCCTGATCATTCTGGATACACTCTAGTTCTTTGCAGATGCCTGATGAATTTGACCTTGATTTCTCCCATTCGTGGGATGGGTCGGGTAAATATCGATCTGTTGAGATTTATAAGCTCTTTGATCGATTAGATCTTTGTAACAGGTAAACAATGAACGTAAAACAATGAAACAAAACACAAGTACGGATTTGAATGAGTTGAATGATTAGAACTTTCAATCCTCAGCAGAGCTCGATTAAGAACTTCCGCTGTAGAGGATTTTAGGGTTACAAAAGAGATCTTCTAAATAACACGTAAAATATGATCTATCAGTTCTGTAAAAAGATGCATGCAATCATCTATTAATACACAAACCCTAACAAATAAGTCACGGATGGACAAGCCCATACCGGATACAAAATGGGCTAAGAGACGAGCCCAAGATGCAACACCAAATACCCAACAATATCCCCCTTTGCGTCAATAGGGGTGAGACCTCACTCCAGCTTGCTTACACCTGCGGCGCTGCCTTTCTTCATAGTTTTGAATAGGCAGGGAATGATAGCAAGAAGTGTTTGTCGGAAGTGAATATACCAATTGATCATATCGTTGAAGTACTTCTTATCACTCTCCGAGTTCTGTTTGCATCGATTGATGATACCCAGAACATGCTCCAAGCAGGAAGTGGTGTAAAGATGTTTGTCAGCCAAAGGAAATAAGCATTTCTGACCTTCTGCCCTAGTGAACATGACCGAGTTTCGTTTTGGATCAATCTTTCCCATCTGCATTCTATTTAAATCGCTTGCAGAACCAACTGGAGTGATAGTGGGCTTCTTCCTGAGAACATTAGCAACTTCTTGATCCAACTTAGCAACCTCCAAAATATAACACACCAACATTCTATTGAAATGGTCTATGATCGGACCATATTCCACTTCATTAACAAGAAGAATGTTGTGCAAGATTATCCAGTCATGAGGGTTTAAGTTGGGAAGATCAGCTAGAGAGATGGAATGCTCAGTTTTATCGGATCCCCTTAAGACCTTCAATCTAACATTGGTGAAGTTGCCCTCCCGAACAGGTTTCAAAACCCGAATGTTGATGATATTCTGTGCGCTCCACGTCTAATACTGAGGTTGAGCTATCCTCAGATAGAAGTCTACAAGCTCCCTATCAACCTTCGGGTGAGGATGAGTAACTTCAGCTATGTGGGCGAATGCATGGAAGATAAAAGCTTTTCTGGTCAGGGGCATGTCAAATTGGGAATCAACCGAATTAACCCGGTCCAAGGAGATCACTGGTTCTAGCCAAAGAGTGCAGGAGGACTTGATAGCTTCTTTGACAAGCTCTTCAAGTGTCCAAGGAGGAAATAGAGTTTTTCTGCTTTCAAGGAGATCATGAGTCTCCTTTATCTTCCTATCTTTTGCTTCAGCCTCTCTAGCAATACAAGCATTTTCATCTAGCTCCTTCTCTCTGGCCTGTTTCCTCAGTAGGCTGGCAATCGGTTCCTGGTCCTCACTTTCATCACTGTCATCGAGGATTTGTTTGTCTTTGCTTTGAGCACCCAAACCTGATGCAGGAACAGTTGTTGGTTTGGGTGCTTTCGGAAGGACAAGTGATGAAACTGGAAGTGATTGAGCTTTGGAAATCGGAGGGGGTTTTGATTGAGCTATGGGCTTCCCTTCTCCCCCTTGTTTCAGATGTTCCTCCTGCTCAGGAATCCCTTCAATGAGGCTAAGCAAGGCAAGGGCAGGAGCGAGCTTCTCGGCAAGAGTGCGCCTCACCGAATAGTTAAGAATCGGATCATGGGCTTCAATAATGTTGGATAGAGCCCCATGAACATCCGAAACACAACTCCTAACCACAACTTTCTCAGACCGAAGAGAATCGATCTCCTTCTCGGCTTGGGAGAGCTGATGAGTTGCAAGATTAAGCTCGGAAGATTTATGAGCAAGCTCATCCTTTGTAGTAGACTCGGCAGCAAGAGTTGCTTAAAAGGTGAGAAGACGATCCGCAACCGAAGATTGAAAAGATTGATTGTCTTCTTTGAGGTTCTGACGTAAGTTGGTAAAGTGGTCTTTTTCTGTTTCGAGAGAATGGACCAGCTTCTCCACAACGGTGCGAATCTTCTTGGTATTGGTTTCGGATGCCGCCTGTAAAGACTCCAGCCAAATCTGGGCATCTTGAAATAGTTTTTCGACTTTTTTGGTTGCTTCAGCACTAGCCTTTGTAGACTTGTCAATAGCAGCAGCAGCTGAGCTAATGGAGGCTTCATGTGCTTTGGTGAGAGATTCCACCATCCCTGAATGGCGGCCTCTGAAACGTGAGATTTTGAGGTAGAGGAAGAAGCCACAAGATTATCAATCATCTCGTGGAGTTCCTTGATATGCTTTTTGGTAACTGGAGCATCATCATCATCATCACTTTGGACTTCATAGGGGCTGTAGTAGATGGAATCAAAGACCATATCCTCCCCTCCCAAAAAGGTTTCGGTTTCAGCAGAGGGAGTGGGAGATATGGGTGTGGTGGATGGTTCGGTAGTGGAAGTGGGTTCGGGTACGGAAGTAGGTTCGGGTTGTGAAGTCCGAACCCCCGTATTAGATACGTTGGTTGGAATCTCACTGGTGGTGTTTTTGGTTGCTTCAGTGAGGATTGGTGGTGGTATGGAAGTAGTTGTGGGTGGAAGGGTAGTAGAGGTAGTTATGGGGGGAATAGAAATAGGGTTAGATATGGAGGGAATGGAAATGGAGGAGGTTATAGTGGGAATGGAGGGTATGATGATAGGAGAAGGACAAGGAGGTTTTGATGAAACTGGTACCTCATGAGCAGGCGAGTGAGGTGGGGTATCGCCTCTAGCTGACTCGTCTAAGTCAGATTGGTTATCCTCTGAATCACTTGATGAAGAAGAGAGAATAAGTTTCCTCTTCGGCTGTGTTTTCTTCTTCTTCGCTGGGGGGGGGGGGGGGAGATCTATCTTTGAGGGTTTTCGCTTCTTAGGAGAAGGACCCTTTGCTCCCTTTACTGCTTTCTTAATCTTCCCTTTCTCCGGTTTCTTCCCTCTAGCGGCTGGTTTATCTGCATCATTGATGGACTGAACCATTTCAGCAGAAAGTTCCCGTGGACCCGAAGGACGAAAGTCCTTGTAGGCCTTCATTATAACACTCTCCTTGGACACACCATCGGACATGGAATCCGGAATGGATCCGACGAAGGAGAACTTGGTCGGATCAGTAACAATGATCTTGGTGGTGTGGAAGACACTGATGGAGGAGAGGAGGGAATCGGCTACAGCAGGAACATGAAGCTTATGCATGGCCCACTTGGTGATCAGCGTCCAAAATCTGGCATAGGACACTTCAGTGTGGCGAGAGGAGGAGGCTAGGCTCTGAATGAGTTGCTGCCAGAGAACCGAGCCGTAGTCGAGGTTGATGCCATTGTATAGACCATAGAGAATGGTCATGCACAATTTACTAACCCCATCAGAACCAGAACTTCGCTCAGATAGCCCTTTGAAGAGAATGGTGAAGAAGCCATTCCATGGAGGAGGAAGACACGACTTTTTGAACTTGGTAACAGTCGTGAGAATTTCCGTGTAGCCCATGTTGTAGAACATCGAAAATAATTGTCCCACAGTTATGGAGTCGACATTAACCCTAGATTCATCGGGTTCAAACCCTAAGAGCCAGCATAATCGTTGCTTGAAGATGGAGGTCTTGTGAGAAAGGAGGTTGAAGTAGATTCGATCCACTGATTTATCATAATGAGCAATGGAGAAGACCTGGGAAAGACATACCATGGGCACAATCTCGACCTTCGAAAGGGCTAGAACCAGTGGAGAGTATTTGAGACACTCCACCATGGGATACATATAGTGGGATCTTTTTCATGTTGAGTCCATAATCTCGGAGTGTTGCACTGGGTTATGATAGATCCTAACTGCACTTTCTGAATCACAATATAATGGGATCTTTTTCATGTTGATTCCATAATCTCGGAGCTGGCTTTGGATCCAAATGACTTGAGATGTACAAGAGGCAGCTGCGATGTATTCTGCTTCGGCTGTAGAAAGAGATACACAGGTTTGTTTCTTTGACTGCCAGCTAACCAACTTCCCATCAAGAAATTGGCAACCTCCTGTGGTGCTTTTCCTGTCTAAATCACATCCTCGAAGGTCTACATCTAAGAAGGCTTGAACGAAGAAGCCTGAGTTTGATGGATACCATAGACCGAGAGAGGTGGTTCATTTCAGATACCGGAGTATATTTTTCACTGCAAG